TTTGACTTTGTTTTTTGTGTTTTCTTCTTATTGTTATCAAATATTCCTTCTCAGCAGCTTGTCTTGAAGATATTCCAAAACATTCTGGTGGTTTTGAGTGAAAATTAAGCTGTGAGACAGGAAGTGGACTTAAAGTGGCTAACAAACTGCTAGCATGATGTCGTCCACGTGTTTTACACGTTTTATTTGTACTATTCTTCACATACTTGAAAATGACATCTGCTAAAACTAGCCATTTTTATTGTTTGTAATATTTCACCATATTTTTCTGACTATAAGGTGCATTAAGTGAAACAAGTTCATTTTGTCAGATTTTTGAGCACCGTGTTCCACATAAAGATGGTTGGAGGTCAGTGAGCACAACCAGAATTAATACTTAAGGCTCACTGTGGATTTATGAGAAAATTAAAGGAGTTTACGTGCGCCTTATAGTCCGAAAAATACGGTAAATAAAATTCAGTTTTATTTTAGTTTTGGTCAAATCCTGGAAGAGCCGCTGCAGAGTTACCGAAGGGCCACACGTAGCCCAGGAGCCGCAGATTGCAGACCCCTGATTTAGTCGTTTAAAACTTTTGTAACTTTATTAAATGTTTTACTTTGTTTTCACAAGTTGAATTCATTGTTTCCTTCATGAAACGTTCAAACGTGCAATATTTCTGTCTTTTTGCAGTTCTCTGTAAATCTTCTAGGTTCGGCTGTGGGTTGGACCAGCAGAGGGTGACGCTGCAGCTCAGACGAGCTGAAGCTTCAAACTGATGTTGGATTTCAGGTTTTACTTCTTTAACTTTGTGGAGTTCTTTTCATCTCCGGGAGTTTGGCGTAAAAGTTTGACTCGTTTGGTGAATTTAAGGTTTTAGAGTTAAAGCCCACCCCCCTTTAAAAAACACCCACTTGTTGGAGGCCCGTCGAGGCTCAAACTTTGTGTTTCTGAGGAGAAAACCTCTTTCTTGTTCAGGACCCCCATCCGAGACCCCTGACCCCCCTCCCTGCCCGCCTCAGTCTCCTGATGAAAAGAGGACACACAATGGAGTCTTTCTGTTTCCATTAAAGAGCCTGGGAACACAACACTGTCCTCAGAGCCCGTCTTAAAGGGACAGTGGGACGACGTCCAACATGTCTTTGTGTCCAACACATGAAGACAAACTGCAGGCAGAGCGAAAGCTGAGCGCTGAAATCAGCTGAAGAAGCTAAAACAGAAATATTAAAGTTTAAACACACAGAAACAAGCTGAAATTAGACAAGTGGCTAATATTAGCAAAGCAGATGTTAAAAATGGCACACAAGTAGCTAAAATTATAAAATTTGTAGCTACTATCAGCCAAACATTATTATTAGCAAACCTGGAGCTAAAATGATCAAAACTGTTGCAAAAACAGCAATGCTAAAATCAGCATATTATTAGCTAAAAGTAGCTAAAGAGTTGCTAAAGTTAAATTTATTTAACGGAAGGCTAATTGAAACAGCTACTAAAGATAAAATAAGTTAAACAAATCTTAAAAATAGCAAAACAGCAGCCAAAAGTGGTAAAACTGCAGCTACAAACAGCCAAACGTTTAAATGTTAGCAAACCTGCAGCTAAAATAAGCAAAACTGCAGTTCAAAGAATCAGTAGAGATGATAAATGTAAAGTAAGCAAAGCTTGGTAAAATGATCAAAACAGCAGCTAAATGTAGCAAAGCAGATGCTAATTTTACCAAATGTGTAGCTAAAAGTCACACAACAGATGCTAATGTTAAACTAGCAACACAAAAGGCTATTACAACCAAAGTAATAATAACAAACCTGGAGCTAAAATTAGATAAACTGCAGCAAAAAGTAGCAATAAAGATGCTAAAATCAGCAAATCTGTGGCTAATAGTAGCAACAGAAGCTAAAGTTTAAATTATTTAACGGAAGGCTAAAAGGGCTGCTAAAGCTAAAGTTAGTAAAAACAGATGCTGTAAACTGTTGCTAACAAAAGCAGAATGTTTATTAAAAGTTAAACATAGCAGCATAGAAGCTAAACGCTAAATATGGTAGAATAGTGGCCGAACCAAGTAGCTAAAAGCTAAATGTAGTTTAAAAAACTAAAACAGAGCCGGTTTGCTGAATTAAAAACAGATTTTCATGTATTTTAACGGGAAACTTTATTTTAAATAAAACCTCATTTAAAACCTATAAAAGTAAAAATTAAAAAGCTCATCGCAGCAGCCGAACGAGCTGAAGGTTTATGAAGAGCTAAAACAGCTGAAAACATGAAAATGTGAAATTTGACTAAAAACAAACAAAAATAAAACCAGAGAAATGATCTAATAAAAACTGTAAAAACTTTATTTCTTTGCTTGAGTCCCATCAGACCAGGACCAGGACCAGGACCAGAGCCAGAACTGGGTTAGGCTGCAGCATCAGGTCCTGCAGAGTCCTGGATCCTGATCCTCTGGACTCGAACCTCAAACTGTGATTTTCACCTAAATAAAACTTTGATCTTCAGTTTGATCGAAACTGAAACTTTTTGTTTATTGTGTCAATAAATCAGAGATCTGTTGTTTATCTGTGACGTCACCGTGACGGCAAATAAACACATCGAAGAAGAGAAGGAGGAGGAGGTGGTGGAGGAGGGACAGGAGGAGGAGAAGAAGGAGGAGGAGGTGGGAGGGGAGGAAGAGGAGGAGGTGGGTGGGAGGGGGCGGACAGAACTGTAGTTGAGGAATTTGAGTCCAGAGTTTTTAGGAGGAGAGGGGAGTGAGGAGCAGCTCCGGAGCGAAGGAGTAAAAATACTCCCTCTGTTGCCACAAATAGACTTTGGACAAAGTGTCGTGCGCGAGAAGGAGCTGCGCGCGCGCCTTTTCTGACGGAACTTCAAAGTGTTTTGGACTGAACCGAGCCTGGAGAGGAGAAGGAGCTCAGGACGGAGCGGAGAAGACCAAAGAGGAGGAACCTGGACCTCAGAACCGAACCCGAGATGTGCTGATGGAGTCGGTCCGTGACCCGAGCCGAACCATGCAGGTCTGCAGATGGACGGTTCTGACCCTGTGGCTCCTCTGGGGGCCCAGCTGCGCCGGACAGCTGGCAGGTAAGACCAGAACCTGCTGCTCCTGGGTTCACAGAACCCAGCAGAACCTCTAAACCAGGACTAATGAGCCCAGTCAGAACAATTAGCTGTGGGAGCGCAGCTGCCAACATCTGGCCCGCACCAGACGTTCACTGAGCAATAAAAACAACAGATGAACTCAGAAATAAAAACTTTTATTGGATTTAATCTTTATGTTCGAACATGTTTCTGAAGTTTTACAGCCTCAGAAAAATAAATGAAGATGGAAACAAAACAAACAAATCCAGATTAGATTAGATTAAATGAGGAAACAGATTGTAGCTGGAGGGGAAGGATCTTCTCCTCCTTTAACAACATTCTACACATTTTTATTAAATTTAAAGATTCATCACATTTAAAGTTTTAAATTTTACCTTCTTGGCTTTTATAACCCTGAAGAGCTCAGAGACCCCCCCAGTCAGGTCTCAGTACTGAGGGACAAGGGCCCCAGGATCAGGTCTCTGGACTCTGGACCAACATGGCCCTTGATGCTCAGAGCCTTTACGGTTCTTTAAATCCTTGAACTCTGGTTTTTAAGTCCAGTTTCAGGTCTTTAATGTGGAAGTGTACCTGGGCCCCTTGTTCCTGAGTGATGGAGCCTCATCCTCAGTAATCAGGGTGTTGCTTCGGTCAGTCGTGGTGAAAAAAGCCGAGTCAAAGCTCTGGATTTACTGGTCTGTCCACGTTCCAACCCTCGCCTGTGGTCCTGAGGTTTGGATCAAGACCTAAAGAACCAGATCCAAGATCCAAGCAGCTGAAATGAGCTTCCTTCATTGGGGTGGGGGAGGTGAGGAGCTCCGGTATCCTGGGGGAGCATCAGAAGGTGTCAGCTGAGGAAGTTCATCTGATCTGGATTCCTCATGGACCCCTCTCTTTGGAGGGTGAGGTTTTCCAGACCCTGGTTCAGACCTAGAACTCTGATTATAGATCCTGTCTGGTTTGGGAAGACATTGGGGTCCTCCAGGAGGAGCTGCAGACTGCCTCTGGAGGGAGGGAGGTCTGGGTTTCTCTCCTGGAGATGGTGGGGGGGTTGGTTTTCAGCCTGTTTGGTTAAAGTGAAGCGTTTTGGTCAAACTTGTGTTTGAACATGTTCGAGAACATAACGGACGTCTTCCTGTCAGGATGGTCCTCACAGTCCTCCTCATGGACATCCCTGTCCTCACAGTCCTCCT